GTGTTGGTCCTTGATTATAGCCAAGTTCATACGTTATCACTTCACTTTATGGCAATTCAGACAGCCCTGCAGTTCCAACCCTCAATCAGCTTTTATTGCTAAGAAACAAATTGTTTGATACTTTCATCCTGATTATCTCCTGTGCTGGGTTTATTGTGATCTTTGGCAAGGTGACAGGCCAAAAATGACATGTACAGTAAAGCTGACCTCCAGCCCATTAGCAAATGATACCATTTGTGCAGCAGTGCTATCTGAACGTCCCAAAAGGCCAAAGTTTCAGACTCCTGGTTTGAGAGGAGGCTGCAGAGGACTTCCCTTCAGCTGTGTAGTGAGTCCAGACCCACTCTCTGTACGGTGTGAGCCACGTGTCTGCATGCGTCCAGTTCTGGAGCCCCCATCACAAGAGAGACCTGGAGCAGCTGGAACAAGTCCAGAGGAGGCCACCAGGATGATGCGAGGGCTGGAGCAGCTCTGCTGTGAGGACAGGCTGAGAGAGTTGGGGCTGTTCAGCCTGGAGAAGAGAAGGCTCCAGGGAGATCTTATAGTGGCCTCCCAGTACCTGAAGGGGCTACAAGAAAGCTGGGGAAGGACTTTTCCTAAGGGCAGTTAATGACAAAACAAGGGGAAATGGGTTTAAGCTGAAAGAGGGGAGGTTTAGATGAGATATTAGGAAGAAGTTCTTCACTGTGAGGGTGGTGAGACACTGGAACAGGTTGCCCAAGGAAGTTGTGGATGCCCCCTCCCTGGAAGTGTTCTCGGCCAGGCTGGATGAGGCTTTGAGCAACCTGGTCTAGTGGAAGGTGTCCCTGCTGCTGGCAGCGGGGTTGGGACTGGATGAGCTTTAAGGTCCCTCCCAACCCAAACCAGTCTGGGATTCTATGATTCTATGCATGAGATCTCTCCTGACACAGCAGCACCCGCGAGCCATTCCACTTACCTCATCAGAGCACAGTCACTGCTCACCGACCCTTTTATCAAAGATACTGATGACTCACTGTGAATAACCTGCTGCTCAAGGAGCAGAGGTCCTGGACAGCTGATGAGGCAGGCAGGTGCTGTGTGGGAAAGCTGTAGAGGTGTCTGGACAGGGCAGCTCAAACTTGCTTATATTTTCCAAAGCCACGCCTGGTTTCTGTGACAGGTTAAACCACGGGTTAAGCCACTCAGTGGAAACACTGGGGTGTGAATTTGCTTTTACAGTGTAATAGCTGCATGTCACATTGCTTTGGTGGTGTAGAGGCTGCTGTTCCTACCAGGGCAATGATCAGACAGTCCAGCCTCTGCTCTGTCATATTGCCCATCTTTCTCAGGCCAAAGAACTGTGAGGAGAAATCAGATGAATTCAGAGAAATTCAGAAGAGAGGCTGGGAAGGTTTCCATGATTGTACTCTCTGACTTAAAATAGGCAAAGTGCTGACAGGAGAAATGTCTTGGCAGAACTTAGGAACAAATCTGGGAGTTGAGATCAGCAGAACGAATGCCCAACCCTAATGGTCAGATTATGCTTCTAGAAGACTTTGCCAGGTGTTATGTAGACTTTAAAGAGATTGCTTTCATTTCAGATGGCTTTTATTCTTGATACAAATGAAAGTAACAAAGCTCAAGGGGCTTTTGTTCTGGACTAACGATCCAGAAGGGTTTATTTCCATGAAACTTAACTTGGTTTTGTATGCTTCTTAAGATACCAGACTTCACAGCCTCCTCCTCTCTTGTTCCCTCTGACCATAAAAAGATCATTCACCATTCTGGGAGCTCCTCCTGAAGGACAGAAATAGATGTTGCTTTCCAACTGTTCCCTTTGATAGGAGTTGAGGCTAAACCCCATCTCCTTTAGGCTGGGGCTCTCACACCCCTTGGATGTCCCAGAGCTGCTCTTGGTGGGAATGGTGACACTCCATCCAGTGGAAAAGGAGACTTGTAGAGAGCTTTCTCCTTCTCTTTCCTCTTGCCCACTGGTTGACCTTTTAGGTTAGTTCCTGCCATCAGGTGGACCTCACCTAGTTGCTAGCCAGCGTGTAGAGACTGCCAGCCTCTGCTGCACCGAGGCACTTGCCTGTGTTCAGCAGCGTTGCCTCCTCCTGCCTGACTGGAAGAGTTGGGTCCCTCTGTGGCCTCAGGTCTGCCCAATAATGCTGCCTTGGCTTATCCAGAGAGTGGGGTAATTGCACCCATACAGATGGACTTTCTGAAAAATACCCCTTCAAGCTGGCTGCCACTGCTAGCAAGTTCAGGTTATGTTTGCTCAGTAGTTCCAAATACAAAGTGAGGAGTAATTAATGTGGATCTCTCTCAAACTTTGAATTTTGGTAGTTTTTGTTGTATGTCCAGGCTAGATTCACACTGGAATGTTAGAAAGCAGAAAACAAAGGTCATAGGCTTGACTGAAATTTCTGTCCTCCTTTTCTAAGAGTGGAATGGTTTCAGAATGTATCCAGAGTGAGAGATCCGAATCACATTCCTCCTACGCCTGATAACACACCAAGAGTTTAAATAATCCAGAAAAGTGCTGGTGGCAGTGTGTGTATGTGGAGGTGTATCTCAATTTCTCCAGTGGAATATACACCTTTTGCAGTGCCCACCACAACTTGCTGTTTCCCTGGAGGGTGTGGATTTCACAGCCAACCTCCTGCTGTCCCTCTTGTCCCCTCAGCACCACTTCCAGAAGTGCTGGATGGTGACAGCATATCCATCCAGCTGGTTGTGTTACTGCAAAGACCTGTTTCTGCTCCCTCCCAAAGACTGTGTCACTCCATCAGCTTCTGGTGACAGTAACTGTAGATGGCTTTGCTCTCTGTCTCATCCTTGTTTTCCACTTTGAGCAGCGCTGAAAGATGTTCAAACCGTCTCAGGTTCTGGAGAGCTCAGCTGTATTATGTTTCTCACATGTAATTTTCTACCTAATTGTTACCTCTTCAAATGATGCTGGAGAATTCCTTGTGTGCCATTCGGGTCCTGTTGACTAACACAAAATCCTTTGCTTTTCTGTAGCACAAAATGTCACAGGTAGAGAGTCAGAGTGAGTGATGCACTCCACTCGTAAGAGAGATGTAATAATTTATTGATTGATATGAAATAGTGAATTAACAAAGTTCAAAGGTTAAGGTGACATTAATTTAACAAGATTTGATGGCGAGGTACACTGGATTATTTACTTCATAGAGGAGGACAGGATCAGACAAAGCTGTTAGGGAAACCATCCTGTTGAGTCCCAAGGTTTCAGAAAGTCCCTTGTTCTCTAAACTTTTTCTTGGAGAGGAGTCCAGGTGCAGCTGGATCCAGTCCTAGTCCCAGACTTGGTCAGAAGTTCATGTCTAAAGGATTATGTATATGGGCAATCAATCCTTTCTGTCACTTAGCTCAGATTTTGCAGTTCAGCAGTTGTTAGTCACTTACTGAAGACTGGTTGTGGCAAGGGATCTCTCAGCCTCAAGGAGTAACCTTGAGAGAGGTCCCTGCTCCAGGGGAGAGCCTGGCATGTTAGCCTGCTGTTGTTTCAGGAGAGCTCCATGTGCCCTGGGCTGTCCATTATTGATGGAGTAAGATGACTGACCTATACTCATATTTGCACACCAGCCACATTTTGGTTGATGGATGCTCAGCAAGCCCCTCACTGTTGGAGCACACTGTCCAAGACAGCCCTTGGCTATCATGTTGTTACCTGTCTCCCCAAGCTGGATGCAGCTATCACAACCAGAGAGCATCCATGATGGTCACCACTGGTGGTTATCACCTGGGCAGGGTTATGGGAAATACAGATCAGGTTTGGAGGGAGCAGGGGGAGCACAGAGTCACACAAGATAATTTCTGTAGGAGCATATCCTGACTCTTAATGGGTGTGAGCTGAGTTCAGTGGAGTTGCACCTGCAGTCTGAATACAGCTTGTGGTATTTACACTGAGCTTACACACAGAACACTCCGCTGCACATCCTTCACATTTTGAAAGGTATATTTATTTTACCACCTCCACAGAGAAGCCTGCACGTGTTTCACAGCCTTGTTTGCTCTTTTACACAGCGATTTCCTCTTTATGTCACTTGGGTTTGCTCACATCGGTCGGAGTGAGGCAAGGAGCTGCCTTGCTTGAAGTAAACAGCCTGCAGCAGTCTTGCAGCTTGTTCATTGCATCGTAGCATTTGCTTTGTCCATCCCCAGGATGCAGTAACCTCTGCCTTACCACCCTTACATCCTGCAGCTGTATTGTGTTGGTTTCAATACAATTATTCCTGATGTAGAGCACTCGAAGGGAGATGCCAGTCTGGCCTCCAGCCCCCACGGGGACATTCAGGTTGGTTTGTGAGGGCAGAATCTAGTCTGTCATGAGCAAAATAAAAGCTTAGATGTTTTGTCTTCAAGATGGAATATCCGTGCAGTGCAGGTACAGATGTATTTGAACTGCCCCAGTACCCCAGGCAGCATTTCAGAACTACACCCACTGTCATTGCCTGGCCTGTGTTACACCCCGTCGTCTTACAGATAGCTCCTAGCAGTGTCACTGGAGGTTGGCAATTCAGAATCTTCTGTGTCATTCAGAATGTGTATTTTCCTTAATTAACCAGTAGTTTTTAAAACTAGACTTCAAATTATCTGATAATATCTTCCAGCAGTGAAATGGCTATGAAATCAGAGCAAAGACCTTTGTTATTGTAATATTGAGCACGCTCCATGTTGAAGCCAACAGGTCTTCTTTTGTGTTTGCTTTTGGTAGTAAGTGTACATTTTTGCTTGTGATTGTTTAGATGTGGTTGAGTTTAAATTAAAGAACCAAGATGATCCATGAGGTAATTAATTCAAAGTATACTGCTAAGACCAAAGACGCTGTCTGTCTTCAGCTCTGTGACCTCCTTCATCTGTTTTGCAGCTCACATTCCTACAAGAGTATTTATTTAAAGTTAAGATACTTGAAAACCATAAAAAACCTCACTTTTTTCATTTGCTGAGAGTCAGCCTTAAGTAATCAGATGGTGCTGTATGTCTAGACATGTTAAAAATAGCTGTCTTTTTGGCATGTTTAAGTTCAGGAGCTGCTTTCATTATTAATTCCTTGCTAATCTTTCACTGATGATGCTCAGGCCAGGGCTGAGCATGCCTATCACTGCATGACTCTTTTAAGCAGGAACATTATATGGCTCAAAGAAACATGAACTGTCCTAATCATACAGCTTTAAATACACTAGTCATATACAGTTCATTGTTATTTTGGGGTTTTTTAACTTTTAGATTCATGCCAATGCTAAGGCAGGGTACGTATCCCTCTGATCTATTTGACATAACCTAAAAAATACCAGAAATCGTAACTCTAGCAGAACTAAAATGCATTGGTATAATTAAAAATAGGCAGTAAACCAGATATACCTACAAGTTGAGATTCCTCCTGCTTCTCAGGTACACCTCCATCCTTGCAGTTCTGTCTGGGCACCCTTTCCCTCGAGCCTGAGCTCACCTTCCCTGAGCTCAGAGAGTAAGATGAAGTTAGGGATTGCCTGTAGCCATGCTAACTCTGGGCTATGCCTGAGGCTCACTCCCTCTCATGCTTCCTCTCCCGAGCGTTCCTGTGGGTGAGGAGGATGCCCCTGTAGTCATGACCCCTTTCTTCTGTGTAAAGCACCTAGAATATTTAATCACAGTGGTTATACAGTAAGCCCAAACAAATAGGAGAGGACAGTGGCAACTCATTCTGTCTTCTCTTCCAGAAAGACCACTGCTTTAATGTATAGCACTTAAGAAATATTAGTATATGGAAATGTTTAGGTGATGGCTATTTTCCACATGTAAGAAAATAGGAGGGTGAAGAGAGGTGGGGGTGGGTCTGTTCAACCAAGGAGCAAGGGCCAGGACAAGAGGAAATGGGCTCCAGTTGTGGCCAGGGCAGTTGAGATGGGATGTGAGGAAGAATTTCTTTGCTGCAAGGGTTCTGAGGCATTGGAAGGGGTTGCCCAGGGCAGTGGTGGAGTCCCCATCCCTGGAGGGATTGAAGAGTCGTGTAGACATAGTGCTGAGGGACATGGGTTAGTCATAGGGGACTGGTCAGTGTTGGGTTTATGGTTGGACTCCGGGATCTTAAAGGTCTTTTGCAACCTTAATGATTTTGTGATTCTATGAATAAAATGCATTGCAAGGAGAACTGGGAAGAAATTGCTTTACTCCATGACCTTTGCAAACAAGGATCTCCTGAAAAGATTCTTTCCTCCCAAATACGTAGAAATAGAACAAATACAGTGTAGCTAGGAGCTGAACTGTTAAATGCAAGAAAAAACCTGAGGGCTTTCCCTAATTTATTTTCCCTGTCAAACACTGTAGAGCCCTGGAATCTGGATCCTGCCAGTTTTACAGCTTTTCCAGGTGACCTTCAAATGACAGCCTGAGCGGCTCACCATTACCAGTCCCAGCCTTATTTTACAGTTAACTGTTAAAAAGGTGACAGTTCTACTGCAGCTGTTCAAAGTTCTTCTCCCCTAAATTGATTTTAATGGAGTTCACTGTCAGAATGCCACTGTCACAGAGCTGGGTGGTTTTGGGATGTTGGCTGGACTGTTAGCTGGGCATTTTTTAGGAGTGCTTGAAGCTGTTACTCCATTCAGAAAGGAAACCATTGAGTTTTCTGTCTCTGATCTCTTTGTCTCACCTGCACCTTGCAGCACATTTAGTTATGTCAATACAACATGTTGTGGGCTCCCCCCATCAACTGATCCAGGTGAAAAAGAAACTTGAGAAACAG